CGATGTATTGATTTGTCATATTATTATGTGCATTGTGGCTTGAAATTTAATCCATTAAGAGTACTTACGGATACAAATGCATTTACTCTTACATCAAGTTAAACCACTTTAATTAGACGCAGAGAAGGTCCAGTGCAATGATATGACCTTACAAACCCTTTTTTTGCACTTGCACTGATTTTGCGTTGCCGTAGCAATAGAGTTAATCACTTATGCAATTGAGAGTCTTTCAATTTTCTTTAAAAAATTAATTAACTTACAATGAGCTCTATTTTTCTGTCTATTCTAAATCTAAGGCTGTTGAAGGGTATTGTATATCGATTATACATTTTTGGATTTCAAATTTTCGAAGTTATAATGTTTATTAGGAAATTATATTTTAAAAAGATCTAACTGTATGGTGCAAAGACCACATCTGATGAGGGTTTAATTTGCCTGATTAATTTTATTCAAAGCAATTTACATTTGGACCAGTTAATAGAGATGGAACATCTAGGTCAAGTGTACAACAGCTGTACCCTATGTAGGGATTTGAGCCCACAACTCTCCAGGTTAAGTATGTTAAGTATCCTAACCACCACTCCAAACTTCTGCCTACTGATGGTGGATAGTTGGAGCTCCAATACATTTCTAAATGTCAGATACTGTGGCTAAAAACTGAAACCTGTAAAAATGTGTCATTAGACATTGTTTCATTAACTAAAACAAGAATGCTATTTCCTTTCACAACAGAATGGCCTACCAGAATGGCCTATTGATTTCCTTCTGATTTTTCCTTCTCATATTTTAATAAGTAAGAACTGCAGATTAAGACTGCCGATGTATCATAATAGAATTCCATTATATTGTATCATGTTCTTAATGGTGTGTTATAATAATAAGTTAACACCATGGTTGTGTTCTATTAGCATACTCAGTACTGTGGTTGGTAAATTAGTATGAAGTCAAAGACTCGTATTAAAGGCACTATTACTGCAGTTCTTTTCAATGTGCTGTAGAGAGAGAAAAAAGAGACATAAGGCTACAGCCATGATCTCCAATATTTAAGTGATCTGCTGCTTAGTTATACAGTAGTTGCTCAAAGTAACATCCATAGTCTCTTTCCCATTTCCTAAATATGTTTAGAACAGTCTTGAAGCAAGACTACAGGACATATAAACAAATGTAATTTGGCAAATAAGCCTGTAAATGATCGAATTAATGACAAGCTATTACAGAGAACAATAACTCATTTAATGGGAAGTTGAAGAATCCCAGTATAACAAAACTTGGCCAATACAAATATTTACTTTAAGCAGAGTTTTACAAAAAAAACATTTCAAGTTTCATTTCTTTACTCTTAACATAGGAACAGCTAGTGTTAAACAAAAATCAACTTAAACAGAAAGCATGCATGAGACTGAAGTACAAACAAAAGACATCAGGAATTTTTATCCCCATATTACTTCAGTTCACACTGCTGATCTCTTCCTATCTTATAAATAAGGCACCATTTTTGTACAAATTGCTAATACTTTTAAATCAAGGGAAAGAACACTTTTAACTGTCCAGACCAGCTCCATCAATTTCAGCATTCAGATATAAAGTTGTATGCAAAAGTTTGGCCAGTCAGTACTTAGTAACACCCCATTTGGCAGAAATCACAGCCTCCAAACGTTTCTTGTAGCCAGATAACAGTCTTTATATTCTTGCTTTTGGACTTTCCCCCCCGCCGACTCTTCCTTGCAGAGCGCTTCTAGTTCAGAAATATTCTTAGGTCATCTTGCATGCACTGCATGTTTGAGATCTACCCACAGATATTCAGTAATATTCAAGTCTGGGGACTGTGAAGGCTATTCCAAAACCTTAACCTTTCATTTCCTGAAGTAGTTCATGGTTGATTTTGAGGTATGTTTTGGATCATCGTCTTGATGTAATATCTAACATTGTTTCAACTTCAGTTTCTTCATTGACTGTGGGACATGAGCTTCCAGGATTTGTTCATACTTAGTAGAATCCATTCTTCCCTCTACCCGCACAATATTTCCTGTGCCACTAGCTGCCACACAACCCCAAAGGATAACAATCTTAAAAGTTGGCAAGGTGTCCTTTTCTTCAAATGCTACTCTGTTTTTTCTCCAAATGTACCTTTAGTGATTGTAGCCAAAGAGTTCAATTTTTACTTCCTCAGACCACAGCACTTGGTTCCAAAACACCTCTAGCTTATCTAAGTGTTGTGTTGCATACTTCAGATATTGACTTTTGTGATGAGACTGAAGGTAAGGTTTTTTTCTGATGACTCTTCCGTGCAGATCATGTTTGTGCAAGCAACCCTGCACAGTGGACCGGTGCACCACTACTCCTGTGCCAGCTAAACCTTCCTGCAGGTCCTTTGCAGTGATATGGGGGTTCTGGTTTGCATTTCTCACCAGTCTACGGGCAGTTCTATCTGAGATTTTTCTTGGTTTTCCAGATCTTGTCATGACTTAAACAGTTCCCCTTAACTTCCATTTCGTAATGACATTTCGGACAGTGGAAATTGCAAGCAGGAAGCGTTTAGATACCTTTTTATAGCCTTCCCCTGCTTTGTAGGAGTCAATTATCTTTATTTTCTGATCCTCAGTCAGCTGGTTAGAGGAGCCTATGGTTTTTGAGTGTAAGCACAACACCCTGAGAGGTTTGAAGAATTTATTAAGCTCTGGAATTGTCATCACCTGACTTAGATTAAGGCCTAATGAATTAAGTTCTGAGACCTTACAGAAAAATAACACTAATGGATCAACTAATGCATCAAACTTTTGCACATGCCAAATTTAATGTTTTATATTTTTCAATCTGTTAAATTTAGCAAATAAACAGTAACTGTGCATTAATATTTGCAGAAATATGTCAAGTTTAAATTTGTTCGCTGCAGAGGTTGTGTTAATTTCATTTCACTTAGAAAATCAAAATCAAGAAAAACATATAATTTGGCCAGGGGTGTCCAAAATTTTGCATTAAACTGTACATTAATCTGAACATGCCTAAAAATACAGGTCAACCCACTGTATAATAATTTTATGCTCATTTAGACAAATGTAGAACTTATATCAGTTTCAAATATAAAATAAATGTGTAAATAAATCAGAGCAAGTACTTAATGCCCTATTGCATAAAAGTCCTGACACAGCTGCTACATTTCCCTTAAAATTATTTAATGCAAATTACTAAATTTAATTTCATGGCATTAACATCAGGAAGTAAACAGCTCAGAGATGGGGATGGACAATTAAAAAAAATTAGGGCACAGACCTGGCAGATTTTGTAATATTTTTTTCTATTTGCTGTCTGTATTCTATCTTATGAAGGTATTAATTGAAAAATCATACAAAACATTAGGTCTGCTTTATTCTACAATAACATAGCAAAATGCACAACTGTATTGGAACTGCCTTCACTTTATAATTTTATAAGTTTTTCTTTTTTCATGGTTTGTCAGAAGCCAATAGTAACCACATGCATCAGTACTTTTTGTAATGTCATAGTAAAGTACAGTCTCTTTGCTGGTGAGTTTTACTGTAACCAACATAATGTCTAGTACAAGGTTGAATGAAAGCTGTGATATCGTTACATCACACTTGATCATATTCATTTGCCGAAACTGTTCTTAAGAAAAGTATGGCTAGGCTACATTTTACCAGTGTGAAAACTATGACAGCATAGTCAGACGTCTGTTCTTATTCCTTAGGTGTGCTGGCTTGTTTCGCTGCTTTCTTTTGAAAAGAGAAAATCTAGTACAAACAATGTCTATGTGAACTGCTCTTTTTGTGCCAGACATTAATGTAATGCAGTAGTTCCAGGCCCTCAAGGACAACAGTCCAATGGATTTACATGTTTTTTCAACAATTTGCCCCCTAGAAAAACTATGAAATTGATTTAATAGAGTGAAGAAATAATCAGTTAATTAAGTAGGAAGAAAACCACACAAACTGTAGCATTTGAGAACCCCAGGATTAAAATACATCAGAAACCTAATAGCAATCATTTATATCATTACAAGTAAAAGCTTAGAGTACGTCTGTTCACATATTTATATATAAATTGCCTTGAAAAATAATTTCTCAACAGTTAAAGAAAACAAAAATTCTCTCCTATGCGAATTCTTTTAAAATAAACTTTTATTTCGAATTCCCAAATGTTTGTGAACTGCCTGAAAGTAGAACCAGACTGCTGATGCTAAAAGTTATAAGAACAGTATAATGAAAGGCTGATTCAATCTTTTTTAAAGTGTTAAAGTGTTATTTCTGGCAAAAAAAATATTTAGATTGATAGTACTGACACTGGAAAGAAGTACATTTTCAACAAGTCTCTCGTCTGGAGAAGTTTTGACACATATAACAAAGAAAAAAACCTGCGGACGTTACTGTTTTAAGATTTGACATTTTAGCAGGCTTCTAAGGCTTTCACTCACGGTTAGGGATTATCAGACAAAATTAGAGTTATGTAACACAATGAATGATTGCTATTCTGACATTAAAATCCTAATTTAATTTTGATACTGTATCCTTATTATACTATTTGATGGTTCTGTATCAGAATATACACTACAGCCTTTAAATAGTGCTGTATTTGCCTGAATAAACAAGATTGTTTTATTAATTAACTATTAATATATTTCTTGCTATTAAGGTACTGTATAGCATAAACGTTTCGCAGCAAGCAGTGGATGAGAGATTCCTCAGATCTTTTGCTTTTGCTTAGACAAAAGTAACAGATAAAATCTGTGTTAGTGTTACACAAGGCATTAAAGAGAGTTATCAAAGCTCACCAAATAAGGTTAAGAGAATCTGTTTTCATTTACATATTGTCCCCAGGACTGTAAACAAAAATACTCCTTACACATACTCATAGACAAGTGGTTACAGACAGAAACAAATTCGTCATTCTAAATCTGGCACAAGAAATAGCAGAAAAATTAACAGTGAAATGACAGAATAAGAACAGCATTTCAACATGTTAAAAATGGAAATTGTGAAGCTCACCTTCAGCAAGGACTGCTAGAGGGTATACTGGAATCCATAGGGTAAAATGAGCCCAAGTAAAATTGTATGATGGAGTGCTTATAAGAGACAGAAGTCCATATGGATACCTGCACAGCACAGAAAGCCACTTTATTTTTTCATCACTTTTGTTAAGAGTTTTTTTTACAATATACAGAAGAATGCATTCTTTATGTGTATAATTTGCAAAGTCATTATTAGCAGCAAGAGACTCTTTCACCTTTAAACTTGCAACAGCTGATTCTGATTCTTTTCACACCTAAAATATATATACTGTAGCACTCATGTTAGAGCAATGTTCTCTATGTTACCAGTATTTATCACAAAATCTGACATAAAGAAAAATGATTTTAAGTCTCTAGCATCTTTGAACAGCAAAGTGGTCTTTATCTCCATTTACTGTATGTTGACGTTTGCAAAATGAAGAAGCTTAACAAGACAAGATAAGGTTTTAGTCTATACAGGTATTTGACAATCCTTTAAAGCTGGCAGAAAACCAAAGTATGTCTTTGGTTAAAATCCAGAAGAATCTTCTTTCATCTCCTGTATAATTCTCAATAGAATTATCCATGTACCTCATTGTTGTCAAGCTGTAGGGTTTAATCTCCTCTGAGGTACAATAAAGAGGTCTTTATTCAGATGTAGTAGTCGGGATGTTACCAATTCTTCACTTACTATTGATGTCTTACCTTGATAACAATGATAACACATTGCTTCTCTTTTGCACAGCAAAACAAATTTCTTTTAACATTAAACTAAATAAAATCTGAATTTTTTTTGTTACTTTGTGAAGTAACAAGACATTGACTGAATTAAGAAGACAATTAAGAAACATGAGAAAACAATACAAAGTTTTTTTCACTGATGGGATACAAACCATTGTTCAATGTAAATTTAAAAAACAATACTTACTGTAACAGGCCTAGAATATTCCACAGATAAAAAAGCATACAAACGATATATCTGCTTTGCATCTCCTCCTGGCTTACAATTACTACAAACAAAATGAAGTTTCTTTCCAGTACCTGTAAGTAGGAAATACAAAACATAATACCAGCAAATATTATTTTTCCATTTTATGTGTTTCTTTCAATTATAAAAGAAAAAAAGAGTTAGACAAATTAAAGTATATACTGTATCTAGTCTTGTTAAGCAAGGAGAGCAAAAATTAAGCTCAATGGGACAGAGAGAATTCAATTGCTCAGCATTGCAGTGGATGGTATCTCCTGAGATCTGAACTAAAATACACATGTACAACCAAACGCCTGCAGGTCATTGTGCTTCTAAACAAAAATATCTTCTTGTTTTTTACAGAGATAAGTCAAGGTACAATAATCAATTCAGATAAAGTGACAGCATTCTTTGCCCAATCTACACCAAAACATATTTAAAAAGTATGTACAGGCAGCAAGTTCCAGGTTTTTGTAAAAACCTGTACTTCCACTTTTCTGTTCATAAGTGTTACACCATGAACAAATTACACAATACTTACACAAAATCATTAAATAGACTAACAGTCTCATTGATACATCTCTTTATTCATTATCTCAAAAGAGATTTACAGGTTCCATTTCAGGTTTTTAGGTCTGAAAAGCAAATTATGCCAGTATACCAGTTCCCATAGTGTAAAATTTACCGTAAGAAACTTAAAACTACTGTCACTCCCCAATAATCTTGGCAGCGTTCAGACATTATGGCAGAGTGGGTGTTATAAAACTTGCCTGAACAATGAGGGATAGGCCTTTGGAGATGCATAAGACACCTTACCCACACTACACTTACAGACCTTTTTCAATGGACAGGACAGTGAAAAGTAACTTTTTTAATGAGATTAAGAACATATCCTGAATTCAGAACTTAAATCTAATCATTAGAAAAATAAGAACTTCCTGGTCCATATGCATTTTTAAGATCAGCCAAATATGGAAGTAGGCTCATAACTTTTTTTTACCTAATTTATAAAGAGAAAGCTATTACCTGACCCAGGGGTCATTCCATGTCAACTCAGCAAGAGAGTCCCATAAAGATTCATAAACCCCCAACATCTGTTTTCCAGAACTTCACAGAAAATGTAACTTTCCATCTCTCTCTAGAAGTATTCATAAGCCTGTTTGCTTCATAAACACAATTTTTGGGGTCCTTGGAATAACTCTGTTACATATTTATAATTGAGTTCAAATATTTGACCTAGTTTTATACCTGATCTTCCACTGCACTAAATACACACACACAATACAAATTGTGAAATCAAACTTTTCCTGGGTCTTGGATGAGTTCACAAGGAATGATACAATTTTAAAAGCATTTGAGTTGAATTGTAGAAACAGGCACGTGTTAAAAAAAGCATGAAGATGACATTTTAATTTATAAAATATACACTACATAAGAAACATACCTGTAAGAACCTAGGCAGTAGTTTACTGTTTTCAATACCATCTAAAATATGGAATAGCTCCAGCACTGACAACAACTGGCACAAGCTCATAACAACTCCAATGGAATAGAACGTATCTGCCAAGGCATCTGAAAAAGAGGAACGAAATGGAGGCTTTTTAGTAGCTCCGAAGAGGTTACATGAACTTTTAATGATCACTTCCATAACTCATACTTTCAGATTGCAGCTTCCAGTGATGCACCTCTGTACAAAAACATTTTGCAATTAGTTTGATGGCTAATATTAGTTTACTGGAAAAAATTACAAATAAAATATTTGCTAATTTTGTGTTTACTAATAATCTGTAACATTAATGCACTGCGAAACATACTATTAATAAAATGCACATGCCATACATGCACGTAGGTGCAAACATCTGTTGTCCCAACAATACTGTATCCCTTGAATGCAGTTAGGAAACATATGTCCCTGAAAAAACTATGCTGTATAATATTCAATTTCTGATGGAATGCCTCTCTGCAGGACCTGATCTGATACAAGACAATGACATAGAAAAAAAGATGCCTCTCTTTCTGTACAGCCTTATGCACACATGGAAATATTTTTTTTATCTTGGTGTTGCCATCACAGATAACAGTTTACATCCAAACTAAAAATAAATAGGTATGCCTCAGAGATCAATACATTCCAGAGTACAGGTCATGAAACACTATCCATAGATGGACCCGTCAGAGCATACAGACATACAGTAATTGTTTTGTAGAGTAGCTATTTCATTGTGAGTCTGTACCTCTTAGGCGCAAAAACGTCAGGATTCAATACTTGTCCAGCATTGTTCAGAATGAAGATTATATTTTTAAAAAAATCCTTTTTAGGAATCTCATATTCAAACAAAGATTGACTCCTGTCATGTTCATCTTTGAAAGAATTTTTGAAAGAATCACTCATTACATTACATTATGTTAAATTATTAGATTTCCATTTAATGTTTTATGGAAAAACTACAAATAATTCTGTTGCATCAACACAAAAGGTATGTAATCTGGATATGTTACCGTCACTGACTATACGATCCTGAGAGTAGTGACCAACTTTCAAAATATAATCTTTGATTTATTTTGAGTAGTTTTATTTTTCAGTGAAGCAAATGTGTAAAAATCCTTCTTTATTTGTCCGTCGGTATGAACATTAGTTCTAATTTCAGATTGGTAGAAATAGAAATTATATTCTACATTTTGCAAAGAAAAGTGCATGATTAAATTAGTGGCTGGGCAGACTATGACTTGGGGGTTAATATGGTAAAGGAGAGAAGAGGAGACCTTGAAACATAACCTAATAGTTATTTTCTCTTTAGTCATATTTGTATGTATACATATGCTATATTTAAAAATATGCCATGTTCATCACTAGGCAGAATTGTTTATTATACAATATGCCATCTTTCTTACCTTTCCCAAATGAAAAAACTCTCGCTGTCATGTTTGAAAAAATCCATGTATGCCCACAGAACTGCAGCAGATTATATATAAAAAGATACACAAGCCTAATGGTGTCCCTTTGAGAAAGAGAAAAAAGTTAAAATCTTGCAATCGATGACACTTTAAAAGGCGTCATGTTAGAACAATGTTTGCAGTTCGTCACTGAAGTAAGGCTTTTAAAAATACAGCGTGAACAGACTTATCACCCTTCAAGTACTGTACAAACGTGAAGGATACAAAGGGATATGTCAATAATGAACTCGGATCTGGTAATGTAGTTATGTATTATATAAATTATATGTTTTTCTTTTTTTAATATCCTCGTTAAAACTTCCATGAAATATGACTTAATGTAGAACGTAGCATCATTTTTAGAGAAAATCCCCCCCCCAACCCTAATATTGTTTTCAAACACTAAAATAGTACGGTTGTCAGTACTGTTGAAACACACCTTTAATATTCTGCTAAATAAAAAAACTAAATAACTATGATCAATTGTAATCATATTTTTCGCGCCATGTTAGGATGGAAATATAAGAACAGAAACACTTTAGTTTATGTTAATTAGCACGCGTACATTCCTTCAGAGTTGAGGAAGGGATCCGCCCTCAGACTGAACTTACATACAGCACAGCCCTTCCAGAAATGCTGCTAAACGTGCTCAGAGACGGGTCGGGTCCTCTGGTGCGTTTTAAATATGGTTTCTATGAGATTGATCTCAACTGCCATTTCCAGAGTCATCCCATCACTAACAAGCTAAGGACGTGAGGTGTTAAGTCAAACTGTACAAGACGCAAAAGCTTTCTTTAATAGATTAACCTTATTCTTGAAGTTGTTCCTTACGCGAGATGCTAAATAAAACCTCCCAGGTGTACACACCCAAAATTTGAAATAGTGGTTGAAACTATACTAAATCTATAACTTATATTTAATTATCGTTGCAACTGCATCAATACGCTGATTCAAGCGATGTGCAGCATTCGACCTCTTAAATTTCAGAGCCTTGTTTTTTTTTATTGTGTTTATACTTTACGTAATACCTGAGCAGAACATGGTTTATCAAAACATATGGATTAGAATGAACAGGCTACGACAGGAACTCTCCTGACCCTAGGGTGTGTTCACATTCAAAAGTGGGTTAACTTAAGGTTTCTTCACAAAGAAACCGAGTTATAAACATATTGTAAAATGCAATATTAGTATATTAACTTTTTTTTGGTACAAACTTCACTAAATGTACTTTATACCCACTCCATGTTATCGACAGACCAAAAGTTAGGCAGTTGGAATCATGCCCTACCTCATTTCAGTCTACTCGTCTGATGTTCTATCCCTTTCAAGCAGTTTCCTTAAAACCTCTGTTTGAGAAAGGCAAATCAAGGAAGTGAAAGTATCTCGTACGGAACTTGACGTCAGAAATTTTTCTTTTTTTCAGAGTAAATTCTTTCTGACCATTGTATAACCCCAGTAAATGGTAATACTGACAAATGTTTTCAATGAGATCTTGAAATAACTATCCACAGCTCTTATCCAATGTACATTTCTAATGCATAGCCTATTGTATGGCAGTTGTTTGGTAACAGCATAGAGAGCTTCGACGTGTAAATTACAGCCTATGTTAAATATTAGAATGGTTAGGATGTAAAGTTTGATTTGCAAGAACTATACATAAAATACTGTAGTGCCCTCACTGTGTGCCTTAGCAGATGTGCACCCCGATGATGTAGGTGCAGGTTGTGTACCGCTGCCGGGGGATGGACTGAGGGGCCTCAGGCTGGCAGTCTAAATAGTGATTAAAAAGGGATATGTGCATAGTTGTGTTGTTTGTATAAAGGACTGCAGACTTTTTTACATCAATAGGTCAGAAATGTTCATTCATGTTGGGTGTGTAACTCTGTGACATGAGAATCCCTTTGTCAGTGAGAAATACATTTTATTTGTGTCTGGTACCCCTGAGACAGAAGGCTTATAAGAGGACTGGATTCTTCTCCCCGCTAAGCGATTATGGACTCATTGTAACTTGTTGTACTAGGGTGCTCAGGGACTGTTATTATTTGTGGTTTTGCTCTAAACTCTGTATTCTTTTAAAAAAGAATGTATGCTTCTTGCTTATTGTACTGCATTGGCTTATTCATTATTCAATATTTACATGTTGGCTACAAGGAACCAATTTGTCAATCTTGGCTATTACAAATCCAATGTTCCACCTTTACTATTTAATATTTACATGGTGCTACTGTACTTGATCTTTGCATTCACCATGGAAGCTAGGGTTTAACTGCTATATTTTTGCACATAACCTGTTACCTTTTTGTTGTTTTGCACACTGCCTGTTGTCTTTGTCTTTCTTTTGATACACAATTGTATTGTTGTTGTTGTTGTTGTTGTTGTTTTCTCTTTGTACTACTTATGTCTGAGAGCTAGCTAAATAGCATTTTGTTATACCATATACCATGTATATGAGTGTAATGACAATAAACTTGAAACTTGAAACTTGAACTATACCGTAATATTCACATTTACTGGCAGACCACAATAGATACCATTACAGCTGTTTCTGCTCTCTACTGCTCTCTACAGGTGGTTGTCTGATAATAAGACTGAAGTCATGTTCATAGGTCCCCAACATTAGCTTTGCAATGTCTGTACCTTCAGTGCCAATATTAATCATTTGATCAGAAGAAATGTGGGAGTGTTACTTCTGACTCTTTGTTGTCACTAGAAACACATTTAGGAATGCTACAAGGTGTCTTAATATAATCAAAGGAACAAGTAATAGGTTTATTCCATGCTGAAAAAAAGAAGAAAGAGAACACAACGTTTCGGCCGTG